CCGTGGCTCTGCTGACCCCTGGACCTGTGATCTGAAACCTTGGGCTTTTTGCCCACGCTGCCTGTACCCGAAACCGCCTCCGGTTTCCTCTTCCTCTCCATCTCGAGATCAATCTCCCTCTCTCTGGCTCTAGCAATCATGTCGTCCAGTGTTTTGCAACTGGACCGGCTCACAAACATACGAATGTCACTCCGCAACATCTCGTGATAACGGGCCTTCTTCATCTCCTCATCGGCTGCATACTGTGGAACAAGAAGGGCCCTCTCCCTGAACTTGGCGGTGATCTCCGCCACTGTCTCGGTAGTCTGGGTAAGATCCTGGAACTCCCTGGCTAACTGTTGCACCTCAATGACCGGTGCAAACTCCGCTCTGAACCTGGTAGAGAAATCGGCCCAGGTCATGGCATCCAATGCCGCATCATCCCCGATGGCATGTCCTACCTCCTCCCACCAGTCACGTGCCCTGTCCTTCAGGAGACAGGACGCCAATCTGACCTTGTCCCCCTCGGGACATCTGCTAGTGCGGAATGCGTTGGCCACATCCGCCAACCACCTGGTACTCGCTATGGGGTCCCGTGCCCCGTGATAGTCAGGAGCCCCGCATGCCCTGAACTCCCTGAAAGTGAGTGTGCGCGACCCCATCACGGCCGCCATCTCAGTACGGAAAGTACTCAGTCTCTCATCCATCATCTCCAAAATGCCCTCCTTGATCGAACCGAAGATCATAGGAGTCTGCTCAAGTATGATGCGAGTAACCTCAGAAGAAAGGAACTCTCTAGTCTGCTCATCCATCTGTCCGACCTCCGGGTCTGACCCCGATCCTGATCCCCCTTCGGCATCTGAACTGCCGGCTGCTGGCCTCGGACGCAAAACTACCATTCTGAAACATATCACAACAACATCAGAACACTGAAATATTTCAAGGGATCATGATACGACTACTAGCTTCCTGGTCTTATCTTGGCCTTCCTTGATTCGAGTACGGATCCTCTGCGTCCAGTAGTATGGGCCCCTACTACCTTCCACATCTATCCGTACTTTCCTCAAGAACTGCCTCGATTCCCCAAGTCACTTCTACCGCTGCTATTCTCTGCTACTCTCATCCTAGGCTTGCCCCAAAGAAAATTCGAGCTCAATACGACTGGTCCTCAGCTGTTGTAGGTCTCCTCGCACTGCCAGTTAGCCCTCACCTGAACACCATCACATGTGATGAGGATCGGATAATCCTTCAAGTAAAAGATCCGTCCCTACAACGGTTGGACTCAAACAAGAGCTGCGCAGTAGGGCTAGTCCCAGCACTCTGGGATTATTCAAACCTGATTACATGTGGTGTAACGTGCCCACCTAATGGCTAACTCCCATTACTCGGAACCCCACTAAGCACAAAGCAAGCAGCATTCGGATAAGGGAAACAGACTCACGCAAACTATTCTTATAACAAGAAACTGTACTAGCATAGGATGCTAAGCTCTTACTATCAGGCATAACCTAAACAGGCTATCCTACTGCTGTCTACTCAATTCTAGCATGCAATATTCATAAAGCTGTAACACATAAGCAGGCACGTAAGGCATTCTCCTAAATCCTTAGTCCTATACTAGCATGTTGTTCTACTAAAACTGAAATTGAACAAATAACTTGTATGGGTAATTTGGGAGTACTTACTTGAGCTCGGTTGACCGCATGCACACACCTCTATCTTGTTAAAAACAATTCTTTCTTTCTAAGTGTTTTCAAAATTCTTTTTGTAAAAACATTTTATTAAAAATCTTTTATCTCCCTTAGTTTGAGTTCAGATACCCCCGGAAGTGTATCCGAATCCCTCAAACCAGGGCTCTGATACCAACTTGAAACAACCCAAAAATACGACCCAAAATTTTTTGTTTTTAATATAATCGAAACTATAATCAGAGTATCATATAAATAAACCATGCGTGATATGTCCCAAAATATAATAAAGTACTGTGCGGAAACTGTATCATACTACATCGGATCAACAACTAAATCAAATCCAGACTAAAGCTGAGGCGGTGGTGTGTGCGATGCCGTCATCCCGTGCTCTTTCCTTTGCTTGCGGAAGTACCTGAAACCAAAACTGAAACTGTAAGCACGAAGCTTAGTGAGCTCCCCCAAAGTTACCACATACCATACAAAACATATAAACACATATTGGGCCTTGCCCACTGCATCGGGCCGAGGCTCGGAAACTGCATCGGACCGAGTCCGGAACTGACTGGGACCTTGTCCCCTGCATCGGACCAAAGTCCGGAACTAACTGCATCGGACCAGAGTCCGAAACTGACTGCATCGGACCGAAGTCCGGAACTGACTGCATCGGACCGGAGTCCGGAACTGACTGGGACCGTGTCCCCTGCATCGGACCGAAGCCCGGAACTGACTGAGCATAGCATAGCATATCATAACAAACATACTGCATACTGCATCGGGCCGTAGCCCGGAACATAAAACACATAACACATAACGCATGAATTATGTCTGAACCACGAAGGCATCAGACATACTAACTACTACATCGGACCGAAGTCCGGAAACTACTACTAATTGGACGGGCCGGCATTGTGGCCTTAGACCCGTCCCTACTGGAAGGAAACTCACCTCGTAAGCTAGCGGATGAGTGTGTGGCTCGGAAAGCTAACGGCTGCTGCTCCTGAATCTCCTCGGCTACAAATCCATAAACACACTCGATCAATCACTAACACTACACTCAGGGTAAAATAACTCTTTTACCCTTGGTCAAAGTCAACTTACTCAGGGCTGACTCGCCGAGTCGGGATACCTAACTCGTCGAGTCCTAGACTCTCCTCTCAACTCTTACACGCTGATACTCGTCGAGTGTGGCATCGACTCGACGAGTACCCTCTGGATCCAAAAACTCAGATGATCTTCATCCGACTCGCCGAGTCGGATGAACAGACTCGACGAGTTGTTCTTGATCCCCAAGAAGATTGCCTTGGACTCGCCGAGTTGTATGAACAAACTCGCCGAGTCCCTCCATCACTGAGTCTACTCTCAACTCGCTGAGTCCACTCCCTAACACACCTCGTCCACTCGACACTGAAGAAACTGAAGAACTCGGGACTCGCGACCTGACTCGTCGAGTCGTTCTTCCGACTCGCCGAGTCGCCGCCATGCAACAGATTTTTACTCGATTTCTCTTGAATCCAACACATGCAAATGATAGATCTAGGTCCAATAAGCTGTATTATCACGTTAAGTTTCCAACTTTACGTGCACAACCACATGAATAAGGGAAATAAGGCTAAAAGATGCACAACAAGAGTAGATCCATGGCTAATATGCAATGTAACTCCAAAAAGACAGTAGATCTGGGCTCTACAACACCCCAACACTCAGATCCAAAGGTATTTCGACTTATTAACACATTCATGCAAACATAAAGCTTGGAACAAACATCAAATAGCCCTTAAAAGAGCTCTAATGGATGTTTAAGCATATAACCAGAAGGGGAACTCCGAAAATACCTCAATAAGCTCAGATTTGACCTTGGATCTTTGCACTACAACTTGTTTCCTTGCTTCTTTCTTCTTCTCCTTCTTCACACCTTCACAAAATGGAACTAAATCACTTCTAAGCTCACAAATGGAAGGATTAGGGTTTCTCACAGAGCTCTCAGGGTGATAGTGGCGAGAATGAGGCTATAATGGGGTTTAAATAGTGGGCAAACCCGGGGATTTAGGGTTTCATCCAGACGGACGGACTCGCCGAGTCCAGGATATGGACTCGCCGAGTCGCCGGCTCCCGCGTGCACAAAATGCGCGACCCAACTCGGCGAGTCAGGCTAGAACTCGCCGAGTCCCTCTTGAAAACTTAGACAATTGACAATTTATTAACATACCGAGAACGGGTCGTTACATTTTTTTTTATTCTTTCATATAATTTTCATACAAGTGTTTTTAAACCAAATATTTTATAAACTTTTTTTATTCTTTCATATAATTTTCATACAAGTGTTTTTTGAACAAAATATTTTATAAATGTTTTAAAATTTTCTTACAAGTATTTAATTTGTTTTTTTTTTTTTTAATTTTCATACAATTTTTTTATACCTTTTATACATTTATTTCTAAAATTTCTTTTACAACATTTTTAACGTGTTTCACAGATTTTGTATGATAGTTTAATATTTTTTTATAACATTTTAAAATACTTTCATTAAATACTAATTGAAAACATTGTGTTAAAAAAATTTAAAAGTTTATAAACTTAATTAAAATGTATTAAAAAGTTGGAATAATTTTAAAACATTTACATTATATAATTTTTTTTTGTTTTTTTATTTGCTAAGTAATATATATATATTTTTTAAAAGACATTTCATACTTATTGTTACATATTTAATTTATTTAATTTTCTTGTCAGACTTTAAAAATACTATATATGCTTAAAAACAAAAGAAAAAAATATAAAAGGCTATGTAAAATATTTCACAAGACAAAAACATATTTATTAGTTAAAAACTAAAGTTTAAAATTGGTCAATATTTAATTAATATTTAAGAAATTATGAATATTTAAAAACAAACGTTTGAAAAAAATACCACAAACAAATATGAAAAAAATAATCACTATTATCAGGATAATTAACTTTTCATTTTTTTCATATTTAGATAATTTTCTTTTTTTCTATAAATTTAACCATTTAATTTGTTAATTTGTTCAAAATTACTATTATCACTAAGCAAATGATATTTATAACATGTGAAAACATATAACAAATAAAATCGTCAAATATGTACAAAAATAAATTTTTTTTTATCTAAATATGAACAAAACTATAAAATGATTACCTATGCTAAAAACAAATGAACTATAATTGTAATTTTTTTTGATGTTTTGATTAAGCCGTTGGGAGCACACCTACTTGCGTGGTTAAAGATTTCGACCGTTGGTGAAGTGGTGCCCACCTCATGATTTTCTGTGTGTGTGTTTTTGTTTCCTTTTATGCTTCTCTTTTGTCCTAACTTAACGCTCCTCCTCGTGCCGTTGAGTGTGAATCATGGCGTCTTTGCGTTGACAGATTCTACTTATTTAACGTCACTGTTAACAATCCTCTTCTTCATTGTACCAATCAGAGAAAGAGACAGAGAGAGGGAGAGAGAGAGAGAGAGAAAGGGAGGGAGGAAACGCCATTAACGGGGCCTGTGTTCTTCAAGGTAACTTTGCTTAATTTTAGGGTTTCTTGATTCTGTTATAAATGCCCAGATCATATGACTTCGTTTAGATTTTATTCATGGATTTCGTTGGTAAATATATATAATGTAGTGAAATTTGAAGGTTAAGAAGAAATGGAGGGAAAGAGCAAGTTGTCAGCACACTGGTGGTGGTTTGACAGTCAGAGCAACACTACCCCAAGGAAATCTCCATGGCTACACTCCACTCTTGCAGGTACCGACATTATTATCCTTCTTCTACAATCTACACTCGTAATTAATTAATTAATCGTATATGGATTTGGTATGAATCATATGCTTTATAAATACTTCCTAAATGTACTACGATTTGATTTGATTGATAGAACTGGACGACAGGACAGAGGCAATGCTTAAACTGATCGAGGAAGATGCAGATTCGTTCGCAAAACGTGCAGAGATGTATTACAAGAAACGACCCGAGCTCATTAGCATCGTTGAGGATCTGTATAGAGCCCATCGATCGCTAGCTGAAAGATATGATCAGGTCAAGTTTGATAGTGGAAGCCGCCACTTGATCACTCCATGGACATCGTGTCCTTTACCTCTGTCCAAATTCCGAACTTCGCATTTGATGAAAGAATCAGAGAAATCATACGACAGCTACTCTGAGTCTTTTGACTTTGACCATGATTTTGATTCTGTTGAATCTGATATGTTTGATGACCCCCAACACGCGTCTTTTAATGATGAAACTGAAGAAGAGGAAAAGAGTAGTAGTTCAGATGAAGAAGGAATGAGGTTGAGGGAAGAGTTAGAGAGGCTGAGAGAAGAAAACAAGGTTCAGAAGGAAGAATTGGTTCAGAAAGATGAAGAGAAAAGGGAGGCGATCAGACAACTAAGTTTTTGTGTGGATTTGCTCAAACAAGAAAATCTAAATCTCAAAACAAGAATTGCTAAAGATTCTTTCAAGAAGCAAAACAGCAGCCCATTTGAGTTTACAAAACTGAAAGGGGTATTTTGGGGAATATTCAATGGTGAAGCTACTACCGCTGTTCCTCTATAGGCATTCACAGGTATATTTTGACATATTCTTGATATTGATATTCTTTCTAAATAATGTTCTGTTTGTCCCCAAAAAAGTTTTAACTTTTTAAAATTTACATATTACCAAGTTACTCTTCATTTTCTTAAATATTTATTTCGTTAATTTTTTATTAAAAAATATAGTAAATTTAATTTGTTCATGTAAACTTTGAAGTGGGGTCTTGTTTTGTAATGGATATGGATATTGTTTTTTATGGGTCATTGTGTAGTGGTGTCTTTTAGAATTGGATTATTCATGTACGGTGTTGATTCTTTGTTACTTTAAGCAATGTCAGAATATACAGTCTTCAAATTCAAAATGGTTCCTGTAATTTTGCCGTGGAATGTTTGGGTTACTTTTCCTACTCTATTTTATATATTTACCTTTGTAATAATTATTTGTCTGCTCATATCTATTTTAATAAATAAATTTTTTTTATCACATGTCTTTTTTTTTATTATTTGGAAACATGATATTTTCTAAAAATTTTAGATTTTTTATTTCTATTTGTCATTTTATTGTATTTTTTATTTTATTAAATTAAAATTTCATATTTAATATATAAAATAATATATATGTAAGGTATTTATTAAAAAAAGGTTTATATATTTAATATATAAGACAATACATTAAAGTCTCATTAATTTTAATAATTCAATTTTTTTTCATTTTTCTTATAAATTTAAAAATTTTAAATTGTTAAAATTTCATATTTAATTTTTTTTAATTAAACCCATTAATATGAGTTTCACATCTAGTATTTTAATATTACTTGTTTTTAAGATTTTCAACCAATCAAATAATAGAAATGTTAATTTTACAAAAGATTGGTAAAAGTGACTTTGAAAGTGATAAAATCTACGAATTCGTACCCATTTAACAATTGGCATCAATTATCCCTACCCTATTTCCACTTAACTCTACCCCTCATAATTACATTTTATTTTTTTACTAATGATTACTTAATTATTATGTTTTTTATTTTCTTTTAATATATACTGGTTTATTATTTTTTTATAATCTTGTTTTTTTATTTAATTTATATTTACCTTTGTTTTTATGATTTAAAAATACTTTTCTTTTGACCATTTTATTTGAAGACATTATTTTAATTTACAATCTTTTTAAACTTTTTAATAACCTTTTAAATTATAGTTTTAAATTATAATCTTGCCTTCTTAAGCTCTTATTACAACATACCTTTTCCAAAACATTTTAACTATGCTTTTAACGTTTTTAATGAAGTTCCAAACCATTTAAACTTTTTACTTTTATTTTTCAATATACTTTTGTTGTTTGTAAAAAGGTTTAAAAAATGTTGCAAGTTAGTTTTAAAAGGTTAGTAAAAAAGTTTAAAAAAAAACTTTGTAAAGATGTTTAAAAATGATGTAAAATAAGTTTAAAAATATCTAAAAAAGTCTGGTAAAAAAGTAATAAAAGAGTTTAATTTTCTTTTAAAAAGTTGTGAAATAATAGTTTTAAAAGGGTTAGTAGTTTTTTTAATATTAGTTAATAAAAAACGTGAAGGAGAATAAAGAAAATATATACATCATATTATGGGTTATCTACAGAAAAGTTTCAATAAAATCCTAAAAGTTTTTTTTTTAACAGAAAAATCCCAATATTTTAAAAAAATCATATAATCTATCATTTGTTGTTCAAATATAAAAAAATATTTTTTTTTTTCGTTAATTTAAGCAAAACATCAAAATATTGAGACTTTTTTGTTCAAAAAAAAAAAACTTTTAGGATTTTATTGAAACTTTTGAAAAAAGTTTTGGATTTTTCTGTAGATAACCCTTATATTATTAGTCGTATTTTTTTTAAGATATTATTTTTATTTTAATTCTAGCCCTCCCATTTTTATTAAGCTTAAAATATATATCCTTTTAATCTTAATAATTAGGTTATGATAATATATTTCTACAAACATATTTATAATTAATTATTTATAAATTATATTTATTAAAATATTATTTATTTCATTTAATAAATAGATAATTTATAATACTATTTTTATAATAGTTGTGTAAATATTTTTATTCAATTTTTTTTAAAAAAAAAGTTCAAGCACGACACAACAATAATAAAATAATATTTTAACGCAACAAATAATAAAAAAAAGTTCAAATATAAAATAATATTTTGATGCAAAAAATAATAAAAACGTTCAAATTCATTCGCACTTAATCTTTAATATATATCCAAGGTGTTTCGGAATTACGAGGCCCACACGAAAAGCTATGTCTTCCAGGTTCTTTATTTCAATTTACCTCATTAAACTTTGATATGGTTGAGAAGCTGCATCTACGAGGAGCATGATCTGGAGGATTGATTTTCTTTTTCTGTTGTTTCTTCACAGTTGGTCGTTCACGCGTGTTTTTTTGAACCGTAGGTTCTCCAACATCAGTTTTATGCGGGTCATATATCTCTTTTAACTTTCTCCAACATCAGTTTTATCCACTACATCATCGCAATTAATATCGTCGTCTACTACAGAGGTTATATCTGAAATATCGAACTTCTTTTATCGAATCCAATGGTATATTTTCACCTGTAGTGAAATATAAAATAATTATTTATCTAATATTTAAAAAGTATTTTTCATGTAAAACTAAAAGGTTTAAACCGTTTGTAACGAAATATGTAGTTTAAAAAAACTAACCTAAAGTTTGTAACGTAATTAATAGGGAGAAACTCTGTTTTTGTTCCGATTTTATATAGTCGTTCGAATTTATAATGTCCGATTTATAAAATCTTCTTCGAAATTTATAATAATAATAACAATAATAATATTAATATTAAAATATAAAAACAATTTAAAACCGATTTTATATAACCGTCCGAATTTATAATGTCATCCTAATGTTAAAATTTTGTACGAAATTAATAATAATAATGATAATAATAATAATAATACAAACAATATTACTTAACACCAAAAAAAAATAATGAAGAGTATAGGATTAATAAATTGAGGGTAGGAATAACAACTTCCATCTCAAAAAAATATCCTTGATAAGATTCCAACCCTAACCTACTACACTCAAAAGATTAGAACCTAGCCTACTACACTCTAAAGATTGGAACCCTAACATACTAAAGAATATGACTACGAAAATTACCACCAAGCTAAACAAGTTTTTGATTTTAAAAGTTAAAATATTATATATATATAAAGTAGTATATTGCTAAATCTATTATTATTAATAATATAGTAATTGTTATTATTAATTATATTATTTCTATCATATATTATTATTATTATCATTATAATATGAAATATATATATATATATTTCATATTATAAACATATTTTATAATGTATAATACACTAAAAAATGTATATAACTCGTATTTGAAGGTATTTGTATCCGTATATAAAAGTATACTTACTCTTTCAAATATATATTTTCAATATATAAATACCTTATACCTATAAATTTTATTTATACATTTAAACATATTTTTATTGTTTTTTTATATACAAATAACGTTTTAACCAACGACCAACCACTGCCTTTGCCACCTGCAACAACGGCTGGCTACCGCTTAGAACACGCTGGCAGCCTACCGGCAACCACCTACATTAACGTTCGTCCATGGTGTAGAAAAAATAGAAAGAGAAAAGAGAGTGTTCGTGGGGAAGAAATATCGATAGAGACATTGGTTGAATGACAACAATGATCAGATTGCGATAGTTCTCTCTCATATTTAATTCATTTCTCTTATTTATATATATATATATATATATATATATATATATATATATATATATATATATATATATATATATATATATATATATGATTGATATGTATGAATGATTCCGTACCAATCATTTTAATTATTTTAATAAAGTAATTAGTGCATATTTCATGTTGAAGATATAATGAGTAATTTGAAAATGACCCAAGGTTTGATACTATGTTTTTCTTATCACATAGAAAGTTGTATTAAGGGAAAAAATAATAGGCTTGGGTCAAAAAGTTAAGTGTACAATGTCCAAAAACCCATACCCCTTATTTAAAAATTTAAAGTTGGTTTATAGAATCTCTTAAAAAAAGAGATAACATAAACTTAGCGTGTGAATTAATAATAGTTAAGAACATAATGGTAGTAACTTGCCGAAAAATATCAATGTTTTAAAAATTTTCTAATTTTCGAAATTTTCATGATTTATAATGGTAAAAGTGGTATAAATGATTATAGTAAAAGATGTTTCGAAATTAACATCCTAGTAAGACAAAATTACAAAAATGATTCCTGTGGTTTGCCAAAAGTCACAAAGTCAGTCCCTGGTAATTTTTTTTGATGTAAATGATCCTTGTGGTTTGTAAAACTTGCAAAGATGGCCCTTTTTACTAACACCGTTAATATTCAACCGTTAGGGACTGAATCTGAAAGGGTATTTTTGTCTTTTCAAGTATAAAAAGACTAAATTCGTTACATTTGGAAAACCACAGGGACCATTTTTAAAGTTTGCTTGTAAAAATAAATTTAGTTGCTGAAGGAAGGGGGACAAGGGTCGAACTCAAGACCTTCCCTTACATTCCCAAAGCCTTAACCACTAGAGCTAAATGTTCACTTGGTTATTTTCTCCTAAAACCAATTTATATTATAACGAAAACGTTAATACATAAATAAAAAAAATTAAAAAAAAAAATTACATAATTTTTTTTAAATAAAACAAAAATGTATTTTAGCCATATTATAAAAAAAAATAGTTTTTACAAACAATTTGTATGTATTTTTATGTATTTATTTTACGTAAAATATATTTTTTTTATGTCTTTAAAAAATACGTTTTCGTATAAAAAATATGTTTTCGTAAAATATATTTTTTCATGTCTTTGAAATAAAAATAATTAACGCTCCTCATGACATAAAAAAATGTTTAAATTCTTTTAAGTAGCTAATTCTAAAACCGTTGTTTCGGTTATATGTATTAGAAACAATATAACAACGCTTTTGTTATTTATCTAAACAAGTTATACGGTTTTTTTTATGTCAAGAGTAGTAATAATTATCGTTATTTCAAAAAGATATATCACTATTTCTTTTCATCTTCATTTTAACCATACGATTTAGAACTTGAGATTAAGATGAAATACGTATTTTAAATAAGATATATAATCGAATTGGTTTTTTATGTTTTTTTTAAATAAATATAACCGAAGAATGGTTTTCAAAAAACCGATTGGACCAATTTGGTTATATATCTTATTTAAAATACGTATTTCATCTTTTTTAAATACATATAATCGAAAATCGGTTTTCTGAAAACCGTTTTTGGGTTATATGTATTTTAAAAAATATAAAAAAAACTATTCGGTTATATATCTTATTTAAAATACGCATTTTATCTTAATTGCAAGTTCTAAATCGTATGGTTAAAATGAAGATGA